GGCAGTAGACCTGCATTTAGGTGCTGCACACTAACCACAGATATTACCTCCGAGAGTCAGACAGCCCTGGGGATAAATTCTGATACTTTCCTCGGTCAGCTGCGTGCACAGCCAGACCCTCCAACCACGGAGCCGATTTGGCCATCTGTAGTGATGTACACACACCGGCTGCTTTGCAGGGCTGTCAACTGGATGTCAAGTCTTGGGGGCACAGTAGATACTGAACAAGAGTGCCTTCCTCCCTGCACACTGACCATATGGAGTTTGTTCTTTCGAAAGTTATCTGGGATGAATTTGTGAGGCTGTGTTTTACCCCCTCAGACTGCCCCACCCAGTGACTAGAGCTGGGCCACCCAATCCAAGGCTTTTCGAAAGCAGGCATAGTCTCCATCTGTGCTGTCTAATAATACAATGTAGCCACTAGCAGGGGTGGCTGCGCGCGCAACACTTTTAAAATGAACAAACATGTAAATAGCCTCATGTGCTCAAGGTGTGGGCAGCCAGAAGGTCAAAGGCCTTTTGGTATTCATGGTCCAGGATCCCAGGCTGCAAGCTGCTCTACTCCCAAACATCTTCACACTTGTCCCCAAAGGGCACCAAGTACAGTCCCAGCACCAGAGGCATCCCCCACAAGAGGCGGAGATGACGTGCTCCCCTCCCCTGACCACACTGGAAGAGGTGTTCCCAGTGGGGAGGAAAAGTGAGTCAGCCCTGGGGGGAGGGAGGAGAAAGCCTTCCATCTGTATCCTGCAGTGTCAGCCTGCGGTGGCGAGAGAGGAGACAGGCTGTCCAAGGAAAACAGCCTTGTGCAAGCTGGAGGGCTACACGAGGGTTGTGTTGGCAGTGGACATCAAGACCGGTTTGGGAGGGGTTCATGGCCTCCACATCACCCACACAGTGGGCCCAGCACAGCCTGCCAGAGCAGGAAGCGGGGACGGCCGGGGTGGCCATGTGCAGGCCCCCGGGCACAGCACAGCACAGCACAGCTACCACAGGCCTGGTTTCCTGTGCGGAT